GAGGAGGGTAAGGAGGGAGTTATCTGTCGATGAGCGGACCTTCCCGATGCGAGAGTTGTAGGTTCTCGGGTGTAGACGGATTCAAAAAAACCAGAGAGAAGGGAGGCTTTCAGCTGGTCTTCGATCGCCAGCTGTCCATCTGCTGATCTTAGGGCGGGGACCAGTTCCTGAGATCTCTGTGTGCTTCGTATATAGCCATACAATATCTTGGGGTGTCCCAACGACTTGTGTAGTATGTTCAACTCGTATTTCTTGCGCACCTTAGTAGATTCGCTTTTACAAATGTTACGTTGTTGCTTATACTCCCGTAAGTGTTAATCGAAGCTGGTTAGTCTGTTACGCCTCAAGAAGCGGTTTCTTTCTTTGAAAGCGGCCTGCAAGTTTGAGTTTATCCACGTCGGGTGATTTGCACTTGTCTTTCTTCTGAAAGGACAGTTGAGACAAACAGTTCTTTTCAGTTCTTAACAGATAATATCAAGTTATAGATATTTAAAAGATTTGTGAGGCAAATAGCAACGAAAAAGTAAATTATTTGTCTCGGTACGATGCGAAAGAGTGTGAAAAGAAAACTAAAACTAGGAAGATCTTACAAGGCCGGTATTAAGAAATCATTTTGTGAGAGTCGTAACTTGTCAAATATGGTACCGGCGAGCTTTCTTTTAAAAATTGGAAATGCTGTCTGTGGTAACTATCTTGCTTGGTAGCGAGTTCCAAGGCCGTAACACTCGTTGGCTGAAGAAATTTTTCTGCTGTTCAACCGAGTTAATTTGCTTGTGAACTTGTAGGGGTGACCGCGCAGTTGAGTTGTGAAGGCAAACGCGAAGAAATCATCCGGTCTCAAGAAGGAACACTGGCCTCGGGTAATCCGAAATATCCATAGCAGGCTACACTTTAAACATCTCTAATACAGGGGTAAAATGTCAAGCTTTTCAATACGGTAAGGTCTTAAGACTTTCCACAATCTTCGTCGTCCTCCGTTGCAACTGCTCGAGGGGGTCAACATATTTCTTCACCCACGGAGTTCAAACTGGCATTCCGTAGTCTAGATGTGGTTTCATGATGACCACGAATTTTCCTTCCGAAGCGAGAAGGGGCAATATTTTAAAGGCGCATCTAATCCAGTGCAACGTACCACCTCCCTTCCTGACTGCTTTCTTTCATTGCCCTAATGGCTTTAGGTTCGCTGCTGTCCACATGCCCGGATCTTTGTGCGTCCTCTCTTCTGTTTGGCAACCATGACGATGGTATTCGCGGTCTTTGTTGATGAGTGTGGCGTGTACTTCTGTTTTCGTCAAATCCTCGGTGGCCTCTGTAGTCCGCAAGGTCGCATTTCCAGCATTATGACGATGATTTCATGGCCTCTTCTGTCCCCTATTCGTGACGACTCTGATGTCCCCGACAAGCTCGCTCTAGCTCGCCTCCCGGATGGTTGATCGTATAGCCAACCAGACGGTAATATGGTAGTGAACAGTATATACAATTTATGTATTAGTAACTCCGGCTGTTGTATGATCTACCATGACAAGAAGCGTTTCGAACCCTCCCACCTACGCATCAACCTGACCCTCCTATCT